TATACTCCCACATTGTCTGGTGTTGGCCAGTCACGCACTGCTTTCACCTTATCAGGATCAGTTCATACACCATGCTCACTTACAATGTGACTCCAGTGTGCATGCTCCCAGCGTCACGGGACTTCCGCTGTTCTAACAATAGTAACAAAATGTGTAAAATGAAAGGTAGTGAAGTAAATGTACTAGTAATTCTCTTTCAAGTATTTAAATTAGAGTAAAAGTATTTGAAAATATAAATACTTCTTAAAAAAGTAGATACTGAAATAAATTACTCAAGTAAAGTTGCTTTATTATCTTTACACACCTGGTCACCATGGTGATAAAGAAAGTAAAAATCATTCATGTATTTCAGAAAAACTTTACTGTTATGGTTGTCACGAAGATAATAAGTAGCATTTCCTTCAGAAAAACTATACTATTATGATTGTCATGATGATAGCAAGTAGTATTTCCTTCAGAAAAACTATGCTGTTATGATTGTCATGAAGATAAGAAGTAGTATTTCCTTCAGAAAAAACTATAGTGTTATGATTGTCATGAAGATAAGAAGTAGCATTTCCTTCAGAAAAACTATGCTGTTATGATTGTCATGAAGATAAGAAGTAGCATTTCCTTCAGAAAAACTATACTGTTATGACTGTCCTTCAGAGGAGAGAACAATTATACATGTATTTCAGAAGCTGTTATTGTGAAAGTCATGTGACTTGTATTTATACAACATACAAAAACTATCATGGTTGTAAAGGAATAACAAATGTGTATTTGTTTTGGGAGTTTTGCTAACGTTGTTGTCAAGACAATAATGCTTGTGTTATAATCTTACAAAACTGTGCCATCGTGGTTGAAAAATATAGGATAGTGATATTTAATAGAATATCAGTTATTGGCAGATTACAAACAAATCTATTTAGAAATAATAAATGGTATTTAAGTTGTCCATACTTTAATCTGCATTATATCTTCCAAGTAGTTGTATACATTTAATTATTAAATTACTTTGAAGAAGAGATTTATAAGAAAGTAATTTTTGGAGTAATCTGTATCTTTTTTTCTTTTGTGTCTTTAGATTAATAATGAATAAAAATCAGTGTTCTTCTTCTAGAACTCACATGCAAGATTTGAAGGATGTAACCAGTAATGTTCATTATGAAAATTATCGATGTTTGAAATTGGCTGGAGTTCGTTGTGATGGGAAACCAGAGGCTTTAGAAAACAAGTACGTTTTACACTAGTAATAAGTGGAATAAACACTACTTGCCAACACTTCTTATGTTGAAATAAGTAAGAGTTTATAGATATTGACACTACTTGCCAAAACATTCTATGTTGAAATAAGTAAGAGTTTATAGATATTGACACTACTTGCCAACACTTCCTGTGTTGAAATAAGTAAGAATTTATAGATATTGACACTACTTGCCAACACTTCCTATGTTGAAATAAGTAAGAGTTTATAGATATTGACACTACTTGCCAACACTTCCTATGTTGAAATAAGTAAGAGTTTATAGATATTGACACTACTTGCCAACACTTCCTAGTGTTAGAAATAAAGTAAGAGTTTATAGATATTGACACTACTTGCCAACACTTCCTGTGTTGAAATAAGTAAGAGTTTATAGATATTGA